ACAATGAGACAAATTTAGTAATATTTTTTTCAAAAATATATATATTAATACATTAATAAATACTCTCTCCGTCCCAGAAAATTCTTCCAACTTTCCTTTTTGGGACGTCCCAGAAAATTCTTCCAACTTCACCTTTTTGATTATTTGTGTGGCTCACATTCATTTCACCTTTTTCTTACACAACTACAACCACACATTTCCACTTTATTCCCACTTTCTTAAACTCCGATCTAAGTCAAACTAGGAAGAATTTTCTGGGACGGAGGGAGTATAAATTAAAGTAGTCAAAGTAGAATATGTGAATAGTGTAAAATTTGGTATGTTGCACTTATTTAAGAACAGGGGTAGTATGTGTAAGTATATATGCTTTATTTACAAAAGAAAAGTTAATTAGTCCTATCAAAATAAAAATAATAATAATAACTTCCTCATTTAAGAGTGAATAAGGGGGTGTTTGGATCTGATTCTCAAAATTGATTCTGCTCCTTCAGGGAGTAGAAGCAGAAGCTGGAGTGTTTGGGTGAAATTCTAGAAGCACTTCTTGTGACACCGCACCCGAATGTCCTTGGAGACTTGATTTAAATATTCAAAGTTTATGTATTGGATTTCTGATTCCCAAACAATTTGTAAAACGATTAATGTTCTACGTAGTGCATGGTTGAATATCGTACTGTTCAAACTCGTACATTAGTGTCGGGTTTCGCAAATACTTACTCGGGACTTATTAATAAATAAAAGAGCCCAACATTACCTAAATAGTGATACATAATCCTTCAAGACAATTTGAGGAAGGTCGGGCGGCCCAAACATTTTTTTTGGGCCCAACCTGCTAAAAATAGCAAGTATTCGAGAATGACGTTCTAGACCCACTCGGGAGTGACCCACACGGCTAGTAGCCCAATAATACGTATGACAAATGTCAAATAAGTGATTGAATGATTAAAGAAGAATACAAATGCCTATAACCCCACCTTTGGCCTTATTGAGCTAAATAATGAGAGTATGATTTTCCTTCTATAATATCCATCAAGTAAATTATTGGGATGGGCCTACACATATTGGAGATCAATAATGTGATTTAGGAAGTTGACTTGTTCTAAATAAATTAGGATGAGTACAAAAGACATCTTTGACAAAGATGAGACAATATGACCCATTTCCCCCATTTTTGGAAGTATTGGTAGATGTTTGGACCCCAAATTTAATGGGATCAATTGGGAACCACTCCGCATGATATTAGTACCTGCAAAACAAATAAAAAATGGGTTAGAAGACCTACCTTGGCCGGCCAGGATGGAGGGGAGCTGCACATGACTTGATAGGAATCAAAGCTTGGGCCACCATCCTTATTTTCGCACAAATTGGTGTGTTGTTTGTCTCCTCTCATTATAGGAGCTATACTCGACCAAACAACGTGAATAATATGTCCTTGGATAGCCTTTGAAGTCTAGTATCTCAAGTGAGTGGTATTTGTTCGAGGAGAGAGAGCTTATCTTACAAAATCGAGCTGGAGTGAGCGGTGGTCTGTAAACTCGAGCTGTGAGAGTGCAGAGGCTGTTTGGTTGATATATCGAGTTATACCAATCCAATTAAGGCGTGTGAGATACCAAAAGAAAGCTCTCAAGACGAGGAATCCGTGAAGGTCTGGTTTGCATCAATCGGAGTAGTGGAAGGCTTCCAAATCGTCCGAGCAAAACACAACCTCGCAGAAACGGATTTACTCTTCTAAAGTGAGTTGTTAACCCCAAAACCTTTCCATTCATTTTCCAAATGATATGAACTATTGGTGGGGCTATTGTACACTAATCCAAGTGTATAATATGTCCTTGTAAAGTTATTTTATTGATGTAAAGGTTGGATACTAACCTAGAGCAAATATTGGATAAACTAGGAAACGAGTTAGCCGGAAAACACCCATTCTAGGGACTGTTTTCGTATCGGCGATTAGGGGCTGAACTAGCAACTTGAGGGGGCTGTTTAACACCCATTTTCAAGCAAGGAACCAGTTCTCAATCTTCCTTGACCGAGGCTTTGACCATCGGATCAAGAAGGAAAAGTTTAAAGCTCATTTGAGGTGAGGACCGACATCTAGTTGCTTACAACTTGTAGGTTATGCATGAGATTACCTAAATGCTTGAATCATGTTTTTGTGAATAAATATGCTTGAACATGATATGAATGATAAGTAATGGACTTGATCATGAATTGAAACCATATTGATGAATATGGAGTTATGTGAGATAAAGGTATGTTAATATGGTAAAATGACCTTTCCAACTCATGTATGAATGTTATGTGTATGTAAATGTATAATTGCATGATGATGCTTAGTACATGGGAGGCTGCCACATATCTATTGATATGGAGGGGCTACCATTAAGAATAAATGAGTTGTAGGAATAATCTTAATAGTATTGTGATGCTAGTTAAGGATTGTTCTAAATGTCGATAGAATCAAACTTAAGGTTTGAGTTGTTTGTGATGAACTTGAATAAGATTCAAGTGTCAAGTGTGATATCATGGAGTAGGAGATCTATGGGGTGAATACATGAAGTAGGAGATCTATGGTATGATTATATGAAGTAGGAGATCTATGATGCGAGTGCATGATGATGTACTCGAGCCGAACTCTAGAAATGAGAAGCTATATTAGGGTTGGACCCTACGTATGTCGTGGCCATTGGGCACGGGGTTTTGGGAAATGTTTTGTAATAAACATGGGCCTTTGAGCCGACTACTTGACTTTATATAAAGTAAGTATATATTTTGAAGGGGTAATTTGGGATTACAGCCTATACTATATTATCACCCTATTTGAGGGTCTTGTGTGTGAAATACTTGTTGTATATCTATTAGATGCCTGCCACACCAGTACTTTATAGCCGTATAGAGTACTGACCCCTTCGGGGGCGTCCCACCACCATTTCAGGTTGAGGCTTGAGCTTGTTACATGTGCCCGTTGCTCGGGTGATCGTTTGGAGAGAAGACGTGGTTCGTGCTTTCTCCATTCTGTTTTAAACAATATTAAACATGCTCATGAATATTTTACTATAGAGCCTGCGTGCTCATGAATAGCCATGTGTGGCCCTTTTGTTTTAAACAATGTTTTCCGCTGCGTTATGAATTACTTATTATGTTTGTTTATGGATGTATATGTGTGAATGATATTCAAGACGCCTTGTATAATATGAATGTGTTGGACTGCGGTTGACTATTCGTATTGTACGGCGGGTTGTTGACGTGTCCGGATAGGTCCGGGGCGTGACACTTCTGGAGCTCTAATTTACTCTTAGAATCAGTTTTTTTAGAAGCTGGGGGGTACCAGCTTCTGAAAACTGATTCTGATTCTGCTTCTGCTTTAAAAAAGAAGCAGAAGCAGAATCAGTTCCAAACACCCCCTAAGTTCTAATGATATATTATTGTCCTAGAGAGAATGCAGAGGTAGAGAGAGAAAGACATAGTATCAATATACGTAGTGTGATTTTCAGAACCTGGCCTTTAGACCGGCCTACCCTAATGAAGTATTTATAGAAGAAATTTGAGTTGGGCTCCCGGGCTTGGGAGGTGCTTGGGAGTTCCAATTACAATGATGGGCCACTAAGTGGCTAATGCGTACGAGATAGGCTATTTTGATGAGTGTACAATAATGTAGATACTATGATCTGGTAGATGTTACTGGCCGAGGTGTCCTGTACCAATTGGATCTATTGGCTTTGTACTCTGATTTCATCACCTTTAGACCTTGGTGTAGGCGGACGTCTTGCCGAGGGGCTCAGTCGAGGTGGGTAGTCGAGTAACAGCAGGGTCATGTGTAACGGCCATGAGTATGTGGGTTGTGGGCCAAAACCCATATACTCTATCACCTATTTTGAAAAAGAAAATAACACGTACTACTCCTATTTGAGATAATATATAATATTATGCTCATTTTTAGAGAATTTTTTTTGAAAACATTAACATAAACAACTTCAGAGCTATTTACAAAATTACGTTCAAACAAAAGCGGGTTTTGTGGTTACCCTTTAATTTACACATTCTCTTAAGAACAAATCAATTTATTTAATTTTTGTTAAATCAAATATAAGTCTTGAACAATATTATGTAATGCATGATTGAGTAATAATAACTACTATAACCTTCGTACTATTGGACATTACCAACATTAAATTAGGTAAGAAATAAGAAGTGTTAAAATTGTGTAACTGTATGTGATTGAATATTGGAGAGAGAAATGAGGAGAAATAAAAATTACTCCGTAATTACTTTAATAAGATTAAGTAACAAAGTTTTTTAGTGTAATTAAACTTCAATAAAATGAACATAGTAATAGTGTAATACACAAACAAGATGATGAAATCAGAGCTTAACTTTAAAATATCGAACCAATACTAACATAATTAAGCCCTGTACTCCTTATCTCTAATAATTTAAATACTGCAAAATTTTCCTCATATCTCTTGTATCTAAAAATTTAAAATGGAGTAACTATTTTTAAATTCCTACGTATGCTAATTTTTTATTTAGGGTTGTCACGTCCTATGTAGCACCGATACGAGTACGTGGAAATGCATAAACGGGTATGAGGATACGACAAAACCAAAAAAGTGGATACAGATATATGGGGCATATTTATAAATATTAAAAGTTATGGGTTGTAGTTATAAATATTAAAATTATGGGGTGTATTTATAAATATTAAATTTTAAATCACTCAAAAATTATGGGGAGTATATCGGATTTTTTTTTCTTTTAATATCACTCAAAAAGACCTTATTTTGATAATAAAATACTTCGTATATTGAATCACAAATTTTAGCGGTGTTCGTGTTAAACTTTTATTTTTATTTGATCAATTTCTTACGTTTAATTAATGGTTTTGAGTAATACTACGTACGAAGTATGAAGTAGCAAGTACTATATGGATTATGGAGTATAAAGGATTGTGGAAGGAAGTACTAGTATATTATTATATATAACAAATAAGTAAACAAAACAAAAAGTGTGCACTTAATTAATTAATTTTATTGTCATGGAACAATATGAAAGACAGTAGGCAAACAGAAAAACAGTTAGCCAATTAAGGGAAAATAATCACTCCACTTCCAATACCCCCACATCTTCATTGACCATACTTGTCAATCCCAATAGTGAAACACCAATCGGACTTCGAACAATGTTCTTCTTAGAGATCCAAGAAATTGCCCCTTGAACCTGCTTCTCATTATTGAACCCTTTAGATGTTAGGGAAAAGGTAATATTGTAAGATAGTTTCTGGTTCACCTCACGAAAGACAAGAGTTTGTGGCTTAACCAAAACATCAACTCCCGGGATTGCGGTGATTTTAGCCGTGTACTCCGAGTTTGCTTCCCCAACGTTGGTAACCGTCCTGGAATATGTTATGGACTTCGTTTTCCCGAGCTGGATAGCGAAGGACGGGTAGTTCAATTGTGCCTCGGGTATGCGGCTAAAATGTGAACAGCTAACATTCATGTTCACAATAACATGAACTTGATCATCTGTGTAATTAAGACCGCAAAGGTAAGGGATGTAATCATTAGGTTGCAAGTCATAGACTAGCCCGGGATCAATTGCTCGTCCCGGGTTCACGTGACCTGCACCTATGGCGAAGAAATCTGCGGGACTCAATGTTTCATCGGCGATCATGCTACCGTTGAGGTTGTCGTGATAGGCTGTGGTCATGATAGCGGATTTGATTGCAGCGGGTGACCAAGTCGGGTGTGCGCTCTTGAGTAGTGCTGCAATTCCACTAAGGTGCGGACATGACATTGACGTGCCAGAAATCATGTTAAACTTTGGGGTTTTCGAACTCTCATTCGTCACCCTAATTTTGTTTTCATCAATCACCGAATCAGGCCATGCAGCAAGAACGTTGACCCCGGGTCCGATGATGTCTGGCTTTAGGATTCCTGGGCTAGCAATGTTAGGCCCGCGGGAGGAGAAAGATGCAACTGCAGGTGCATCTTTCTCCCCTATAATAGTGCCTTTGAAGGCGATAGTGGCCGTAGGCGATGAGGTGGAATTTATATAGGCTTTCACCTTCAACCCATCATTGTAACTCAAGTGAGTAGCAGGAAGCACATGAGCATCAGCCAGTAGTGAGTAAGCATTGGGTTTATCATTGACAAGAACCATGGCAACCCCACCAGCAGCCTTCACGATTTTCCCCTTATCGACTCTACCGATATCGCCTCCTCGGTCACACAACACCACTTTTCCTCTGACATCAGTTCCATTCAGCGACGCACAGAATGCGGCGGCGGTTGCGTTGGTCTTGGATGACGAGGCGCCACCCGGGTACACGAGAGGCAGAGAGGGCATCGCCGGTAAGGCGCTGCCCATTTGCGCGGCTGATTCGCCCTCTAATTCAACCTTGCTTCCAAGAACGAGGGCTGCCTTGATCCGTCTGTCAATGGTGCTCGCCCCTACCGTGAGAAGCCAGGGAGCCACATTTGACACTGTCTGTGGAGTGGGGCCGTCGTTGCCGGCGGAACAGCTCACGAAAATGCCTTTCGTCGTTGCAGCGAAGCCAGCGACGGCGATGACGTCCTCAAAGAATGGCAGGTCGCCGAAACCTCCGAGCGAGATGGAGAGCACGTCAACGCCGTCCTCTATGGCGTCGTCGATTCCGGCCAGTATGGCGGAGCTTAGGCATCCAATAGAGCCACACACCTTGTACATTGCCACGTGAGCCTGCGGTGCCATTCCAGAAGCCGTTCCCTTCGCGTTCCCGAGCAGGGACGCGTCCTTCACGAAGTTTCCGGCGGCTGTGCTGGCGGTGTGTGTGCCGTGCCCTTCTTCGTCAACGGAGGACCCGTTGACCACGTAGTTTCTTCCACCTATCAGTTTCTTGTTGCATACCGCCGCCGCCGTCCCGTTAAACTCGCATTTCCCCTTCCACTTCGGCGGAAGAGACGGCATGCCTTCGTCGGAAAACGAGGGATGGGCGGGGGTGATCCCGGTGTCTAAAACCCCTATTATCACGCCCTTCCCATAATTTCCAAACTTTTCCCACAACCCACCACCGTCTTGGCGGAGGAGGCCCAAGAACTCCGGCGAATGGGTGGTGTGCAAATGGTACACTTTCTGCGGCTTAGCCGAGACGAACCCTTCTTTACGGCTCATTTCGCTCACCATCTCCGGCGTCAGCTTTGCCGCAAACCCGGAGATCACATGGCGGTAGGAGTGGAGTATAACTGGAGACGGCGGCGATTCTGCTCCGGCGGCGGCGGTGCTGCTGACGAGATCGGACACAAATGATTGGTGGTAGTGGTAAAGGGTGGTGAACCGGCGGCCATTGGCGGCGGCCGCCGGGAATGGCCTGACATGAACAATGTAAATATCCTCACCATCACTATCTCTGATCTGATTTTGGGTGTTGCCGCTGCCGGCGGCGGAATGATGAAAGCCACCCAACACCAAAGAAACGACGACACAAAGAAAGGAAAGGTTATACCAATAAGCCATGTTTATACCTAAGCTAGTGGTAATCGAGTTACTTTTGCTTTGCTTAAATTTAATTTGGTGAATGTATATATAGCTGTTGGAAGTACGTTATTTAGTACACCTTCTGTCCCGTTTTAATGTTCTCGGTTTGACCTACACATATTAAGGAAATAAACTTACCATGGGTAAATTTTATTGTTTTGACACTGTTTAGACACTGTTTGACACTGTTTTGCACTGTTTGACACTGTTTTGATGTAGGATAACTTTCCATTTAGGGAAATGAGAACTTCTTTTTGGGACATCCAAAAAAGGAAAGCGGGAACATTCCAACGGGACGGAGGGAGTATTCAATGATAGTATATGTTTATTGAATATAGGACAATAATGTTTCTTAACGTGGATAAAACTCTAGTCTTACGTGCAAGTTAATTTAAGGGAAATAGTATGATATGATGACTAATGACCAAAAGTTACTTTTTGGTGCAAAATGACCCTCAAGTTTTTTATTAGGTGAAAAATTACCACAACATGTTCTTAGGTCTCCTTCTATAATGTTTTCTTTTTTTGGCTATATCTTTCTCACACATTATAGGTATATATTCCTTTAAATGTCAATATTTTTTAAATGTCAATATATTCCTTTAAATGTCAATATATTCCTTTTGGAAGTGTCACAGTGATATTATCAAATCACAATTTAGATGTTTGGCTTCTATATATAACATTTTCAGTGTACTATTTCTTACCGTATATATTAAGATTTTTTTTAACATTGTGAAAAGTTACGTTATTGAGTTTTTAACTTGTCTTAAAGTAATATGCCACAGTAGTTTTTAAAGTCATATAGCAAAAACGGAAAACCAAAAACTTACTCTAATAATTCACGAGCTAGCGCGCCTTTATTCATTCGAATTTATTTTTGGTAAAGTAGTACAGTCCCAAATTGATTTGCAAATTTCATTTTTTTGTCAAACAGTTTCATTTTATTCGTTTAATTAGAATGTCAATTTTTAATTATATATACTCTAATTTAGAGTTTACAATTTTGAAGAGATTTTAATGTAGTTTCTGAATATATAAATTTTAATTATTAAAAATTGAACTAATTATCGATAGAGAGCATAGAGAGCATTGACTTTTATTATTTGTTCACTTTGTAAAACAATTTTGGACGGACGGAATACTACAACTTGTCTTCGGCGGCAAAAAGGGTACGGTACATTAACTTACAATAGAGCTACGTAGATACTTCAACTTGTTTTTGCAATGGAGTTATGGTACATCCATCAAATATAGATGAACAACTTAGAAAAAATGACAATGAATTGTTAATTTATAACTTAATTTGAGTTTAAACTAGTTAAAATATGAAAAAGATTAAAAAATTAAATATGAGTTTAAAATCAATGGTTATTTTTAAAATATAATTAACATTTGTAATATTTGAGCTGAACTTAAAGTTAAGAATAATGAAACATATGGTACAATTACTAGTTAAACACTTAAGCCTACAGTTCTGGTTTTTACCTTCTTGAGTTCTGGTTTTAGTCTGCTTTATTCTTTGGCCGAGAGTTATTTTCGTTAGCTTGAGGTGAGCGTGAGATTTGTTCTTCTCTAAGCAATGTCTAGAGGTTGTGTGTTCCTCGCTGGTTTAACCAATCGACTGGTGAATTTTCATTGTTCATGATTGGTACGACGGGTTCAGCCTAGTTCTTTTGAAGTTTCAACTACTCGTCCTCTGCTTGAGCCACCGCCTCACTCAGAAACAAAATTAGCGTTTAACCGAATCTCCTTTTGGGTGACTAGTCAAACCAATGATTCACCCAATTTCTACACGATTGCATTTTCTTTGTTGGTTGTTGGTCAACCCAACTCTCCCTTTCCGGTGGCTGGTGAAGTTGGATCTTTTATTTGTAATTTTTTATTGTTTTCTTTGGAGTAGCAATAAAATTGTAATAACCGTATATATAATTATATTTTTATCTCCCAAAATTATAGAGCTGAACTAATATTATACTACCCGTGTCCCAAAAAAATTGTCATTTTTAAAACTTTGGCCAACTATATATTTTTATTGGAAATTATTTATAATATAAAACTTTGGCCAACTATATATTTTTATTCATAAATTAAAAGTATAAAATTTATAACTTTCATAATATTATACTAATCAAATCATGATCCAAACTTCATCATATTCATACTAATTGTTTTCTATTATTGTCATCTTCTTTAGTTTCTTACTTTTTTTAAAAATGTTCATCAACATTAGTCCAACTTTGGAGTATTAATAGTAAAAAAAGTAAAAACAAACAAACTGAGTATTACACTCCTTTTCGTAACAAAAAAAATTCTTATTTTCCTTTTCCGTCCGTAACAAAAAAATCTTTCTATTTCTAAATCTTCTCATCATCCTCTCAATAATTTTGAAAATAGTACACTATTATAACTACTTTTTTGGATTTAGCTTTTATTTCATCACATTATTCCATTATCTTCTGATCATACCATCAATAATTCATATTCTCTTCCCTTATTCTTAATTTACCTACTTTTCAGGGAAAGTTTTTAAGTAATAGAGAGAGTATATGAATACAAAAATTACTGAAATAGTATCAGTCCGAACGTTTATAACTTTTCTATGGTTATTTGTACAACATTTTTACCGGATGGACAACATAAAATGGAGAAAATGAAATCGAGGTGCAAGGAGTGAAAAAAAAACGAGAGCAGCTAAGAAACTCTGGACATTAATAGATTTCTTATCGAGCTAGCTGACAAAGTGACATGTCGTGATTCTTCCTTTCTGCTTCAAATTGTTTCCTCGATGGGAATCAAATATTCATCTTAATTTTTTAGCAATTACTGTATATATTTTCGTATTTCCCTTTTCTTTTCTTATTCCAAAAGCTTTTATTTTATGGCTACTAGCTAGAACAATCGTTATTCTTAAACGTATGGAAGTTGAATTGGTTCAGAGCGCGTTTCATGACTCTGCTTATAGATTTATTGACCAATTTTGTTATCAAATACGTAATTTTTTATTTGGCGTGCTCAATTGTGTAATAATATGAAAAGGCAAGGTTGAAATTACTTTTCTGACTGTTTTAACGGAATTTACACTACAAAAAAACACGGAATTTAGAGAATTTTGGCAGGGATTTGGCAGGGATTTTGGCAGAGATATGCCAAATCCGGAGAAAATGAGCAAATAAGCCCACGTACTAACCAAAAAGGGTCAACTAAGCCCTTATATAGGAGACTCTATCCGGCCGACGCCATTTGGGGCAGTTCTTGGTGGAATTTTTGATGAATTTTTTTTTTAGCATCTTATTCATTAAGTCTAGTTTACTCATACCAAATTGTGGCTAACAATTCAATCGGAAGGCATTCAAATGAATTCTTATAGATAACTGCGCTTTTAACTGCGCAGTTATCTTCAATAATTAATTTGAATGTCTCCCCGATTGAAGTTTTAGCTAAAATTTGGTATGCGTAAACTAGACTTGAAGAATAATATGCTCAAAAAATTTCATCAAAAAATTTCATCGGGAACCGCCCCAAATGGCGTCGGCTGCACAGAGCCTCCTATATAATGACTTATTTGACCTTTTTTTGTTAGTACGTGGGCTTATTCGCCCCTTTTCTCGCCAAATCCGTGCCAAAAACACTTTGGCACGAGCTATTTGGCACGAAAAATCGGTAAGTCCGTGCCAAATACCATGTCATTCCCGTAATTTTTTTGTAGTGTTACTGTATATGACCATTTTAGCTATTTTTCATATAAATTTTTCTTGATTTTATTAATAAAATATATTTTAAATATTTTTTTCATAAATCAGCAGAATCAACAATTTAGCCAATTCAGTTAGAACTTCATGAATTTAAGCAGAATCAGCCGATTAATTATATATACTAGTATGATATTACCAAACAGACTCTAATTAATTTATATTCATAATCTATATAAACATCAGTTTTATTTTTTTGTAATTTTTGTATTTATATACAATACACGATATTAGAAATGAATCTTAATGAATCGAATTGAAGAAGGTCTAATAAACACTTGCATGTTAAGGATTTGTGAAACGCATGTGCAAAAACAACGGCTGAAAGACTTTTGAGAGTTTCACATGTGGGGTTGATTATATGTTCATATAAAATCTACATGCTCTTTTTTTAAAAAAAAAAACAAATAATTTTATTATAATTGATAAAGATAGACAAGAAACATTATAATTATAAAACTCAAGGCTACAATGAGGTGAGACATAGAAACGGACAATTCAAATCAAAAACGCTGAATTGCTAATCCCGCAAAAGAAGTAGACTTTACCTGCAGATTGACTGCTCCTCCTACGATCACAATAATTATCAAGAGAACCCTTAAACACCCCGGTTTGCCCATCCACCGGTAAGGAGCCAAACGTAGAATTTGTTCCAAATTCACCAGCCACCGAAAAGAAAGTCATCCAAATGATCTCATCTTCTTGGAACGGCGGTGGTTCAGGAGGTGACGATTCGTCTCAATATCGACGCAAAAGAAAATCATATTTTTGATTGATGAAGAGATTAGTGCAAATCTATTTCTTAGCACACAAGAACGCCCGACCGAAAGTGGCGCGAAATATGCATCTGGCAAACAATACTTCGATACTGAAAAATCGAAAATAATATCTCCAAACAACATTGGGAAAGAAACAAATGAATACAATGATTAAGAAGATATTTTTCCATTATTGGAACCAAATTTACATGCTCTTTGTTAACCTATTTTTAACAACGAAACTATTATACTTGATACTTCGTCTAACAGTAATGACACTACTAAAAATTAAAAAATCGTACTTCCTCCGTATTTAAAAGTTCCCTACACTTTCCTTTTTGAGATATATTTAAAAGTTCCCTACACTTTCCATTTTTGGTAAGTTTTTCCTTTAAAAATACTCAATTGTCCTTATTTTTCTAATTTTCTACTTTTGATCTCCTCTTTCCTACTTTTTAACCTTCTCTCCTACTTTTTCTATTTTATTTATTATCTTTACTATTCTACCTAGC